ATAAGTAACTAGTTTATGTAAACTCCAGTGTTTGATGTAATAGAATTTTGAATTCCAGATTGGATACCTGTGGTATGAGCACATATACAAGCTTCCAAAGAGCACATATAATAAATATCATCCTTATACATCATGGATTCCAATAACGTATGCATATGTATACCTTGTTTCATTTGTAATTTATGGTTCTGATCTAACTTGATGACGTTCGCTATTCATTTGCTATCTGACTTATTTTTCATGCTTTCAGAGTTTTCATATGCTTACGGAATGTTACCCAGTCAGTGCGCAGCTACTCACTGACACTTTTAGCGTATGTGACATTAGAAACCAATATAAAAGATATTTTTTGTTCAGAATATCCGAACAAATTATTCAGATATTTTTATGTAGACACTTTAGTAACTAACTCTGCTTCTCTGTTACTCTCTTTTCAATTCGGGAATAATAGATGGCTTGGGAAGATAACATTGGAGACCTATATCGCGCAGTTCCACATATGGTTGAGGTATTTTAAAGGAAGTCTGTTATGTGATGAAAATAAAATTGCTCCTACCATGAATTGGCCTTCAAGTCTGTGTATACTATTTATGAACTACATTGACTCCTTTTTGCAAATTTTATAATCTCAAAATGAAAATTGGATTACTAAAGCAGAAATGTACACTTAACTGTTGCAACGCAACACTGCAGATCTGATGTACCAGATGGTCAGCCTAAAAGGTTGCTATCTTTTATCCCAGAGGAATATCCATTGCTGAACTTTATGCTTACAACTGCCATTTATGTTGCTGTAAGTAAAAGAGTGAGGAATCCCCCCCATTAAGAAGCAAAAAGTGCCATATAAACAAACTTGGTTTTGTACCATTTGCAGGTTTCTTATCGGCTTTTTGAATTGACAAATACATTGAAATGTGCATTTATTCCAAACAAAGACAATAAACGCCTGTTCTATAATGCAATAGCTGCCTTATTGATCGGAAGTTCCATATACACGCTTTCTTCTGTATTCCTCAGGCTATATCAGATCATGGTATGCATGTGATTCTTCATTGTATGCATCATGCATGAGTATATTAATTTCGTATGTGTATGACTGTTGTTTACTATGCGCAGATATAGGAAAAAATTGAGATGCAATTCACAAGAGTTGGGATGAGCCGGCCCTTCGATGATACCATCAATTGCTTCATTATAGGCCCTGCGGTACATTTAGAAAAAGAAAATACCAGTCTGGATGTACGGCACATTGTAGTTGTTAGAGAATGTGACGGAGTCCTATTCTGTTAGTGTTGTTTGTATAGTAGCAGCAATTAATGATTCAACCTTTGGTTCTGAGGTTGGGTTCCCTTTTGTGTTCTACCCACAGTTGCCCCCATTGGAGATCATGAATATACACACGCTACACATATATGTAAACAAATGATGTTATTTCTTTCTTTCATATTAATTGATCATATTTGTCACACTGCTCTCCATCTGTGGCTCAACAAGAAAACACCTCATCATGAAAAGGATTCTCTTGGCTTGGCCCCTTACTGCCTCACTTAGCTGCCCCTGAAGATTCCCTTCTTTACTACTCCCCGTCCCATTTTACGTGTCCTACTTCCCTTTTTGGATTGTCCCAAAATGAGTGTCTACTTTCTTTATTTGGAAAGAAATATGTGGTCTACCTTATTTCACTTTATTATACTCAAACCTCAACCACAACTTTTACTTTTTCAATTACTTCATTAATAATCGTGCATTCGTGTCAAGTCAAACTAAGACACATAAAATGGGACAGATGTATTACTTTATTGAGAAAACAACATTATCTAACTCATTTTTTTTTATCCACATGTAGCTTTAATAAATTCGAAGTTAGGCATCCTAGGACATAATTTTATGAATAAGAAGGCTAGTGTGATCAATGATCATGCATTACCAATACTACTATTGCAACTATTCTTGAGTCAAATATAACCTTTTTTTCACTAGTGATTTCATGTTTTAGGATTGTCTGGTTCCCAAAATAATTTTGTTCTCATCCAGGTATTAACACATGTTACTTTTTATCACATAAAAACTTTTGAAAATTCAAAACGCAAGGAATAAACTATTATCAGAGTTTTATCATTTCAAACATCCAATCTCAAACATAGTTATGTAAAGTTGTAAACACATAGAATAAAAGAATATTTCAATTTCCATTTATAAATAAAATACGAAAGTTGCTATTAGGCAGATCATGATAGTAGAAAGAATTATGCATCAATGCAAGTCCTTCAAAACATAAATCTAATAATTAATAAAATCTAAGAATTATGTATGAAAGAACATACTTCGTACTTTATAATAAATATAATTAAAATCATCTTGGAAATAGTTAAATTAAATATATAAAGCGAATTGTGTATCTAATTTGGGTTACTTTTAAACTACGTATTAGTATTAGTGATTGGAACAAGATTTGATTGGTAAAATATGAGTTTAATATATTGAACCTCATGTAGAATAATGTTTTACTTCTGTTTTCATTAATTAAATTTATATTACTTTGTGGCTGAATCTTATCAATTGTATTATTGTTCTTGTTGATTATTGTTGTTGTTGTTGCGGCTGGTGGTGGTCCTACTACTGCTACTACTACTAGAACTTCTGTGATTTTTTATAATAATAACGGTTTTTAATAATAATGTTGGTTTTTACAATCCCACATGAACAATTATCTTAAAAGTTCTGCCTTTTTTTTATAAATTGCATGTGTACACAGACAATTAAAGAATATGGATAAAAAACGCGTAAATGACATGTACAAAGAATATTTTCATTCGTTTACAAGCCATTTGTGATTGAGCCGTACTACTTGTATACAGAATTTGTACACATTTTGTGTACAAACTCGTAGTTGTCTGTGCACACAAGCAACTTATACAACTTCCCTAAATATAGAAGTCCCAAAAAATGTAATACTCCCTCCACCTCAAATTGAATTGTAAATTTGATTTTTTTGGGTTAAACAGTTTCGTTTTATTTAATTAATTAAGATATCAAATTTAATTAAATTTTAATTTTAATTTTATAATTTTATAGAGATTTGGGAAAAGGGTCAAATAGGCTCTCAAATTTACATAAAAAGGTCAAATAAGCCCTTCTATAGGAATTTTTTGATGAAATTTTTTGAGCATCTTACTCATTAAGTCTAGTTTACTCATACCAAATTTCAGCTAACAATTCAATCGGGAAGACATTCAAATGAATTCTTGACAATAACTGCGCTTTTAACCGTGCAGTTATCTTCAAAAATTCATTTCAATGCCTTCATGATTGAAGTTTTAGCTGAAAATTGGTATGAATAAACTACAGTTAATAAATAAGATGCTCAAAACAATTTATCAAAAAATTCCACCGGGAACTGTCCCAAATGGCGACGACCGGACAGAACTTCCTATATAAGGGACTTATTTGACCTTTTTATGTAAGTTCGATGGCCTATTTGACCCTTTTCCCTAGAGATTTTAACGTAGTTTCAATATGTAATTATTAATGAACAAAATTGAATTATTTATCAGGATTTAACTACTCCGTATAACATGATCATATCATGATAAAAAAATGTTGGGACTTTAAAAAACAATGTTGACTTTAAGACTTAAGAGTTAGGGACTGAGGTTACTAGTTTCATGTACTACGTAAAATATTTTAAGAGAGATTTGCCTAAATGGGACTAAAAGATATCAATATTGCAAAACTAAGACCATTAGTTTTCCGTTTAAATCGATAGGACTAAAAATAAGGTTGAATCGCAAAATTGCCCCTGGTTTACGCGTTCGCTCACTTTCTTCACAACTGCGATTAGTTTGTGCAGCGATGATGGCTGCGATGAATGTAGCCGACGATGATAGCTCTGCTACATGCCCTGCAGGTAAGCTCCCCCTCCCTCCCCCTTCATCTTCCTCCACCTCCTCTGTTTACTTCTTCTCAAACTCATATACGAAGTATATGTTTTCTTCTTCCATGTTTTTTTTGTTCTTCTTTTGAATGTCTACATTATTTTTCTCATCATTTGAATCTGAGAATGTTATCATACTTGTTTTATTAAACACTAATTTGAAAGTAATGTCACTGTTATGTCATTACATTTATTTAAGATGACAGTTTTACTTGACATTTTCAGAGTAAATAATGACATTCCAATGACATTTTCATAATAAACATGACAATTTTAATAAACTGAAAGGAGAGACTACCATGTTTTATAAATTTTGTAAATGTCATCTTCATGAAAGTTTCACTTTACATCTTTATTGAAAATTTGAAGCAAAACTTGACATTTTCACAGAGTAATAATGACATTCTCATAAAAAAAACATGACATTTTTAATAAAGTGAAATAAGAAGAAGCGACTGACATGTCTTATACATTTGTAAATGTCATGTTTCATGACAGTTTGATATCAAACATAACATTTTTTAAAAATAAAAGAAGAAGAAGAAGAAGAAGAAGAAGTGGGAAAAGAAATAGCAGGAAGCTAAGAGTAATACCTGAAACTCTAAATTAAAGTTGGCATCACCATCATTTTAATTTAGAAGATGAATCTTCTCAACGGAAGAGGAAAGGGAGAAGATGGGGGGATGCAGAGGTGTTTCCAATTCAATTAGAAATGTGAGAAGAGATAGGTCGGTGAAATCTCCGATAAAGAAAACTGAGATGGAGGTACAGAGAGATTAGAAGATGAGCAAATGAAGTAATTGGGAGTTTTGAACATCCCTGGAGAAGAAATGTCGAAGGCAGCGATGAGGTCATGAGGACCCGCTTAATGTTGGAGGCGGAGATGAGGAATAAGAGAAGGATTGAGCGACAGGGACTTTTCGGACATTGCAGAAAGTGTAAAAAATTGGAAGAGGAGCGTATGAGTCCTATAATGAGAATAAAACATGACAAGTCCTATTTTGGCTTTTCTTCTATGTTTTGATCCTATTTAGGATAATTTCTTATATTTTAAATATCCTGCCAGCGCAAATGCTCAAGTAGCCCATGTCCAAGAAATTATACTCCGGAGAATAGGTGTAACCGTGGAAGACTAGAAGAGAAGCCCGACTCCAGAACGCCTGCTCTTCAAGTCACACGGCAAACCCGAATTCCCGATACCCAATCGGCAACTGGGGCTGCAAGAATGCAAGCGACGGAGGGAGGGACGCCGCCACTGCACCAAGCATCCACCGCGCCGTGCCTCCACTCCTCCAGGCCTCCGCTCAATCGCTCACCTCGCTGAGCTGCTGCCTCGCTCCTGTTGACTGTGGTCACTAGTTACTACTTAAGGTGTGGTTTCTGACTTTGTTTTATCTTTTCAATTATAGATTATTAAATGATTGGTCTTGTTAATTTCTTATGTATTGCTAATATTCTTGATTATTATGGGATTGGGTTGCTTATTTTACTTATTTATTAGGACTGAGTAATTTATACTCGAATTTACCTAATTAGATTGTTATTTATTTAATAAGTAATTAGGTAATTCGGCTAACTATATTTAACTAGCTCGAATAATGTCTAAATACGCTGGAAGAACGTCTATTTTTTTTTTTAAGTGAAATGCATTTTATTATTGAATACTTTTATTTTTACTATTATGTTCATTAATAACTTATATTTTAGTACAAAATATCAATAACTTATCACTATTGTTTCTCTATTTATGTTCTATGTTAAAAAAGTGACCCAAATATTGTTGTTGTCAGAGTTCTAAAAGACGTTAGGCACTATTTGGGCGGTGGCTGGCCGTCTAGCGCCTAGCCCACGTAGGCGGGCACCTAGGCGCCAACAAGGGCGCCTAGCTATCTCCTTTATATTATTTTTTATTTTTTTTTCATTTTCTATGAATTTTAACAATTTTTATTAATAATGTTATACTATTTTGGCAATAGAAATAGCTAATATAATCATTAAATGTTATGCTTTTTGTCATAAAATTATCAATAATAAAATAATAAATAGATAAGTTAAGAGATTTGCGGTTTTTAGTTTAAAAAATGTTTATATGCATTCTAAAAAGTTTATATGCATTTTTTTTTGTAGGAGTATGATAGTAAATATTATAGGAATAGAATACTTATTGACCAAATAGTGTTTTCACATAAAATGAAAATAATAAGTTGAATCGGAAACAAATTTAGTTTGGGCCGCCTAGCGAACCAACTTTTCTCACCGATTACCACAAAGTCGGGCCACCGCCTAGCGCCTAGGCGGCACCTAGGCCGATTTTTAGAACCATGGTTGTTGCACGTGGTCCCCAATTTCTCGGGACCGGTCATGATCCCTTATAGTGGTATTTTAGGGTAAAATAGTGGAACACATCATTTGAGAAATCTCATCCATATTTCGGGCAAAGTTTTGGCGTGAAATATACCTCTCTACTGAGTCGGTCTGACTGTGATTGTAAAAGTCTGACTGTATATATTTTAACAACCATCCTAAGTTTGGCTTTGTGCTAAATTATGGTAGACTGCCTCATTCCATAATTGTATTGCTTCACATGAATCAATTTAAGACTAAAAACAAAGGTTCCATTTCGCAGGTATCCCTCCTGCTGTTTTATTTGTGAGAGAGGGACGAGGTGAGTGTTCTTAGGATGATTCTAAAAGAGGGGTGCACGTTACTGTTGAAAGTACCTAAACCTTCTATACCATTGATCCACTACGCACAAAACCCGAACATGAGTTTCGATTATCGAAATGATAATACTAATAATGATAACACAATAGCTTTTGAAGAATCTGATGTTCTGAAGAGACTAAGGAAAGAGCGAAATGTTGTTTTGGCTTTTGAGTTTTTCAAATATGTTTCCAATTCCAAGTCTTTCAAGCATACCCCACTAACATACCAAGTGATGATTCAAAAACTGGGCAGCCAAGGAGAGATAGATGGAGTTCATTACCTTTTGCAGCAAATGTACTTAGATGGTATCCATTGCTCTGAAAACACATTTGTAGGTGTCATCAATTTCTATAAGAAATCTGGTTCTGCCCCACAATCTCTAAAAATGTTTTACAGAATGCAAGACTTTGGCTGCAAACCCACAGTGAAGGTTTACAATCATCTTTTAGATGCATTGCTAAGTGAGAATAGGTTTAGCATGATCACTCCTATATATAGTAACATGAAGAAAGACGATATTACCCCCAATGTGTTTACATACAATATTCTTTTAAAAGCCCTGTGTAAGAATAATAGGGTGGATGCTGCTTACAAGCTGCTCGACGAAATGTCTAAGAAGGGTTGTTCTCCTGATGAGGTGAGCTATACAACAATTGTGTCTTCATTGTGTAATCTAGGTCGGGTGAAAGAAGCAAGGGACCTCGTTGAGGGGGTTGATGCCAGTGTTCCTGTTTGGAATGCACTTGTGAATGGACTTTGCAAAGAGTGGGATGTGGAGGAGGCAATCAAATTGTTGGATGAGATGACGGAGAAGGGTGTCACTCCCAATGTCATTACGTACACAACAATATTAAATGCTTCATCTGAGTTAGGTAATGCCCCATTCTCTCTTTCCATCTTAGCGAAAATGTTTGTGAGAGGATGCTCTCCAAATGTTTATACTTTTACCAACTTGATAAAAGGAATGTGTGTCGCTGGAAGGTGCGATGAAGCGCTTGATGTGTGGGATGCTATGATTAAGGAGATGGTTTTTCCTAATGTTATTGCATACAACACATTAATACGTGGTCTTTGTTTGTCTGGTAATATGAAAACATCTTTATCCATCTTTATCCAAATGGAAAGAGTTGGAGGAGGGTGTTCTCCAAATTTGACAACATTTAGCACTCTCATAGACGGGTTTACAAAATCCGGAGATCTGAGTGGTGCATATGAGATGTGGAACAAGATGATATTGCTCGGTTTCCGTCCAAATGTTGTTGTATATACATGTTTAGTGAATGCACTATGTAAAAACTTCATGTTTGAACATGCATATGAGATCATTGAAAACATGGTGGCTGAAAATTGCCCCCCAAATACCACCACGTTCAACACATTTTTGAAAGGTCTGTGTGGAAGTGGTAAAATTGATATGGCTATTGCGTTGTTCAATCAAATGGAGAGTTTTGGGTGTTCGCATGATACAACCACATATAAAGAGCTATTGAATGGGTTGTTCAGATCTAACAACATTTCCCTCGCATTGGAGCTTTTAGTGGAGATGGAGGAAAAAGGGGTGGAACTTGATCTGGTGGCATACAATACTATTGCCTCTGGGATGCTTGAAGATGCTCCAAAAGTTATTGCCAAGATGCTTGTCAGGGGAATCAATCCCGATGACTTCACATTCAACATACTAATAAATGCATATTGCAAGGGTGGAAACGTCGATCTTGCCATTCAGCTTCTTGACGTAATGAGGTTAGGAGGATGGAAGCCGGATCTAGTTTCATATACCAGTCTTATAATTGGGGCCTGTGAGTTGAGTGATTCTGAAACAGCTATTCGGTGTGTTGGGAAAATGATAGATGAAGGAATTATCCCAAACATGTCCACGTGGAATGTTCTAGTACGTTTTTTGGTTAGCCGGATCGGTTATGTTGATGCAATAGAATATATGGATACTATTTTGGTGAGAGTTTCACCTTGATAAAAAGGAACTTCATTTATGGCTAAACACGTGGTGGGACTGCAATGTTGGAAGCATGAAATTTGAGAATATTTAACAGAGAACACAGGTCAAGATCCCTAACTATTTTTATTTCCTTATTTGAAATATAACTTGTTTATGCATGATATATTTGTAGGTGGTTGGTTCTGACTTCAAAGGGTGGAGAGTATAAAGATTAGATAATGATATGCTAAAGTAGTTCTAATGAACGAAAGATTTGAAGTTAATGAGACTGGAAACAATATTTTGCTTTTCCAGTGTTCTCGTTTGTCAAGCAACGACGATCATGAACATAGCATGAACATAGCAAAGGTATCATTCATTCTCATGCTTTGTTTGTTGATTGTTTTGTAGTTATGATGATCAATATGCAGCTCTGCAAAACAAATTCTAACCTACTATAGAATAAAACTCAGCTTCTGCTATGACCTGTGAGAAACAAAGATGCTGATGGAATCTGAGATGCTGTTTGGAAGGAGGCACATGCATGTTTGAAAATGTTCACCCCCCCAGAGGAGGATGGAGTTGACGCCATGGACCATTGACGTGATGCCATAAAAACGGTGACAGGAGTGCAGTATTGCACATATTTCGAGGTCTGTGATGGATCCAGTTGGTTAATTGTGATCCTATTAGAAAGGGAAGAGTTCAGGTCTTGTCATTTACAAATTGTCACTCTCTTCAAATAAACTCCATTTGTTCTGAAATTAAGTTCTTGCAATGTATCCCAGTTGTCAATTTAACTTGCTTTTATCTCTAGATCCATTGGATGGTTGGTGCTAGGAGTGGACTCGGGTCGGGCCGCCCAGCCCGGAACCGGCCCGAGACCAGTACTGTTTGTACCCGGCCCAACCCGGTAACCGGTCTTGGGGCCGGTCCGGGCCAACCGAATTGCTCAAAACCCGGGGCGGGCTCGGGCCCCCATAATGCAAACCGGCCCGGTCCGGGCCAATAACGGCTATTTTTTAAAAAAATAAATAAATAAAAAGACCCTCCTAGCCGTTGGGACTATTCCCAAACGGCTCTATAGCCGTTGAAGGCTTAGGAGGGGGGTCCGGGAGTTGGGGATACAAAAAATCCTATTTATACTCCTATTTTCTATACATTTTTACACATCTTCTCCAACTCTTCCTATTCTCTATTCTCTCATTCTCAATCATCTCCATCTTCATCTTCTCCAATTCTCTTTACATATATATATATATATATATATATATATATATATATATATATATATATATATTATATATAATTATTATATCTACTTATATATTAATTATCTACTTATAAATACATATATTATATTACTAATATTTATTATCTACTTAATATTTATTTATTATCTTTACTTATTGTTATTTACTTATATTTACATATTACATTTAGTTAATATATACTTATATATATTAAAGTATTAAGTATAAGTGTATTACTCATATGATAGTAATATACTTATATATTATAGGCTAAAGGGTAAAATAGGCCCTTGAACTGACTTAAAGTGTTCAATTAGCCCCATATATAGGAGGTTCTGCTCGGCCGTCGCTAATTGGGGCGGTTCCCGGTGGAGTTTTTTGATGAAATTTTTTGAGCATCTTCTTCATTAAGTCTAGTTTACCCATACCGAATTTCAGCTAAAAATTCAACCAGGAAGGCAGTCAAATGATTTTTCGAAATGTACTGCGCTGTTTAACTTCGCAGTTATCTTCAAAAAATCATTTGACTGCCTTCCCGGTTGAATTTTTAGCTGAAATTTGGTATGAGTAAACTAGACTTAATGAAGAAGATGCTAAAAAAAAATCATCAAAAAATTCCACCGGGAACCGCCCCAATTGGCAACGGCCGGGCAGAACCTCCTATATATGGGGCTAATTGAACACTTTAAGTCGGTTCAAGGGCCTATTTGACCCTTTAGCCTATATTATATACTATAAACATTATATTATATATTAGTTATACAATTATTATATCTACTTATATATTTATTATCTACTTATAAATATAAGTGTACTACACATCTTATAGTAGTACTTATATATTATACTACGTATACTATAAACAATATATTAGTTACACTTGAATTAACAGTAATTAAATTCATCCTATTACTTATACATTCACACTCCCATTAATTATTATACATTTATAAACATTCATATATTTTTTCTATTACTTACATTTTTTTTAATTTTAGTTAATTGGTACATTATTGATTAAAGTATAAAAAAGTTGTTAATTGTTACATTTCTCATTTTCCTATTAGTTAATTGGTACATTTCTCATTAAAGTATAAAAAGTTGTTAATTGTTACATTTCTCATATATACTATTACTTATTAGTGTATTGTTACATTTCTCATTAAAGTATAAAACTTGTTAATTGTTACATTTCTCATTTTCCTATTACTTAATTATGACTTATCTCGTTTAATTGTTGAAAAATTAAACTAGTTAATTACTACCCTTCTCAATACTTAAAAAATAGGAAAAATTCATATAAATAATCCCAACTATTAATCATATTCCAATATTAATCCCAAAAATCAGTTATTCTAATTTAATCTCATTTATCAGTGCCATCTTCTGGTAACACTCCCGTGACTTGCATCAACTTATTCAGTAGGTCACCCTGACACTTGGCCTATTTTTATTGGCCTTCAATTTTTCTTTCTGTTTTTTTGTTTTTCTTTTTTCACTTATCTATTTTTCCTTCCCTTAGCTTTTTTCCCCTTCTCCGCATATGTTGGTTTCTGGCCAAGCTGTCGGTCCATCCAAGCTCATCTTCTGAAAGCAGGGCGCCAATCCCATCGATCCCTGACCAATTTCAAAAGCAGGCCGTAGTCGTTAAGGTTTCTGGCCAATAAGAGTGCTGCTCATTGGGGGAGAGGAGGAAGATGAACAGGTGAGATTCATTGAAAAGCAGATTTAGACCAAAGAAGAAGATTATTATCCCTGGCCATTCCAATAGCCCTTTTTCTATTGATATTTTTCCTTTTTTCTTTGCTTTGTATATTTATTTCGTTCCATATTCCTTCTTTTTCCTTCCTCATGAGTTTTGTGCTTATTGTCGTTGGGTATTGTTTACATTGTTTTCTTTGTTCATTTTACTTTGTTTTTGTACCTTTTTCCCCCCTTCAATGTATCTGCAAATCTTCGGACAAAAAAATGTTTTGACGATGGAAGTTGCAAGCGACTCACGAAGCTAGCAAACTTAATTAGTGAAAAGGACTGAAATGCACATAAACGAAAGAAGCTTAACAGTCTTAAAGCTTTCTTAGTTTGGGAAAGTAGAAGATGAATACGGAGGAAAATAAATCTTTGGTGATTCTTGTCAAATTCTGAATTGGATTAATTGGAACCAGTAAAATCAAGATTTGAGTTTGATTGGAGGATGTCCGCTGAGGGTCCAAATCTTCCATATACAATTGACGGAGAATAAAATGGAAAAAAATGATTTCAAGATGCAATGGACGAAAAAAGAAAGAAGGCAGTACAAGCAAAAGAACAGAAATGATGAAAACGAGGGAGAAGAATCAATATGAGAAAGAAGAAGAAAGGGAAAAAGGAAGGGGACGTTGTCACGACTCCATGTGTTTTTTTCTTTCTTTTTATAATTTTTTACCTGTTGAATAGGTAACCAGTCACCTAAGATCAATATGAGAAGATTGCCTGTATATTTGGGATTATTTTAGAATTATGCATCTTTGGGATTAATATGAGAAGACCCATAATAGTATAGATTATTCATGTGAATTTTTCCTAAAAAAAACTAGTTAATTGTTACATTTCTCATTTCCCTATTACTTAATTTGTTAATTGTTACATGTCTCATTAAAGTATTAATTATAAGTTGTTCGAATTATTGTTTTCAAGGAAAAAAATTGTTACATTTGATATACTCATATTTTAGTTCGAATTTGCTATAATTAAATAGTCACATTTTAACATTTTAAAAAAATTGTAGTTCGAATTTGCTATACATTTTGTTATTACTATTGTACTCATATAAAATATTTGATATAATTTAATATTTGTTACATTTTAAAGATAGACCGTGATAGACATTATGTAGATATGAATAATCTCCAACGCAACCGAAAGAGGGAGATTGCGACGACTCATCCTAGTTCATGCAAAGGCAAAGGTAAAGTGTGGGTCAGGTCTTCTTCTCAAAGTCGAGATGATTTTGAAACGGATTACCAACGGAGAGATGAAATGGCGATGTGCGACGAGCAACTACAAAACCTATTGTCCCAAAATGATCCACGCTTTTTCCAACAACAACAAGCCCCGACGACCATTGACGAAGATGAGCTCAAGGATGAGGATGCGGAGGAGGACGGGGGGGGGGGGGGGGGGGGGGGGGGGGGCGATGGCACCCCGGATGATGAGGAAGAGTTGGAGGACGAGGGTGGTTCATCCCAAATTGGTAAGAAATCTAAATCTCTTATTATTGAAAATAATTTTACAAAGAGGAAAGACAAAAAAAACTGATAAATGGTACGCAAGTTGCAATCATTGCAAAAAAGAGTATAGCTTGAGAACTTCCGGCGGATACGGGAGCCTCAAAAGGCATCTTAATGCCGCGCACAGCGTGGAGTATGCGAAAATAGACAAAGGCAAGGGGAAGCAAACACAAATATCGAGGTTTGCAAATTCCCAACTCTTTGGTAATTTCTCCTATGATGATAAAAAACATTTGACTGGTATGTCTCATTTAATTGTTGAAGAAAATTCATCTTATATTTTTTCGCAAAGTCTTGCTTTAAGAGATTATGCTCAAGGTACTTTAAATCCTCAATTTAGAAATTATAGTCGCAAACGATTAAAAAAGAAGTTATAAGGCAATATAACATGGAAAAAAAATTACACATATTTTTCGCAAACTTTGATGGACGTGTTAGTATTTGTAGCGATATATGGGAGGATACTTATCATCATTTATATTATTTGGGTCTGACTGCACATTATATTGATGATGATTGGAATATGCATAAATGTGTTCTTGCTTTTCGTGAATTTAATGATCGACACACTACTGATAATATTTATCTTCTCATTGAGCGTATTTTAATTGAGTATAATTTGATTGATAAGGTGTTTGCTGTAGGTTTTGATAATGCTAGTAATAATACTGTTGCTATACATAGATTGCGTGAATTGTGTGGTGCTTCTTCATTGATGGGTAGGTTTTTTCATCAACGTTGTGCATGTCATATTTTAAATCTGTGTGTACAAGATGTGCTAGCCCAATTGGGAAATGCTTTGGAGGTAGTGAATGGGGTAATTAAAATGATTTGGGCTAATACTCCACTAAAAATGCAATGACGTCAATATTTGAAGGATAGACGTTTCAATTATTGTGCTTTTCCTAAAGATTTGTCTATTCGTTGGAATAGTACTTATAACTTAATTAAAGTACTTATTAGATATAAAGATCATTTTCCTGCTTTTTTAAGACAATCTTGGAACTATATTATAAACCCGGCTGACATCGACACTTGCGAAAAAACTGTTTTGGTATATTTTAATAATGCAACTCAAACTTCTGGTCATGTTTATAAATCTACCGCAAACAAATTTTTTTGTTAAAGCTGTTAATCTTGCCGGCGCTTTTTGTGAATTTTATGATGCCGCTAACGTTAGTTATTTTTGTGATTTCATGAAACAAAAGTGTTCAGGAGCCCAAGACTGTACGTAGTACGAAGCCTGATCAGCGAGGCCTATTTCCAGCCTATCGGGTCTATTTCGGCCTTTGGGCCCATTTCGGACCATTTGGCCCATTAGGGTAGGTTTTACCCTACTCCCTTTCCCCTATAATTCTATAAATATGGGGCTTTCCCACATGTTTAGTGATCCTTTTTTGGTTGGTCTCTTCTTCCCCATTTCTCCTCCTTCTCTCTAGAATAGAATAGCTAGCTAAATACTCCATTAATGGGAGCTTGTACATTGTAATGGTGAGGAGAGCCTAATGAGAATGAGAGGGCTTGGACATTAGCCTAAAAAGTCCCGTGGTTTTCTCCCTTTCGGGTTTCCACGTAAAAACTGAGCTTGTTCATACACATTTATACATATATTTACTATATCGTGTTGGATTAAACTCAACAAAAAGTTTTTAAAATATTATTCACATATTCCTCATATATATATGGTATTGCATTTATTCTTGATCCTCGTTATAAACTTGCTTATTTGGGAAATTATATAGATTACTATTATGTTTCTTTTTTTCCAACTCAAGAGTTGGACGATAATCCCATAGACCCTAAACAAGAATTCAACGAGTTTAGTAATTTATTTCATCAATTATATAATGAATTTTATGCACAATATGATAATGCACCCCCTCCCCTGCCGCGATCATCTTCTCCATCTAAAGGAAAATTACTTTTTAAAACTGCATTTGGCAATTTTATGGGAAAAAAAGTAAAGCAACTCCCGCTAATGAACAAAGCTCAATTAACGAGCTTTTTATGTATCTAACATTGAATGTTGATTATGAAGTTGGGAATGACTTTGACGTTCTTAAGTGGTGGAAGGAAAAAGAAAGAACGTTCCCGTTTCTAGCAACGTCCTAATTGATTATAGAATCAGATTGAGCCCAAACTCTCTTGAGACGATTGTTTGCTTCCATGATTGGTTGAAGACCCAACGTAGAACTCAAGAAATGAGCATCGCTCCCACCCGCCACTTTATGGAGGAAACAACCGAAGGCGGAGTTTCCGATTGATTATTTATTAGAAAGTTTTTATTTCATTTATTAAATTTTTCTCAATTCTCAATTGTACTTCTTATTTCAAATAAATATACTTGAACTTTTTTATATATATCAATTCTTGAATTCATTGGACAACAAAAAAAATTAAACTTAAGCCCGGAACCGGCCCGGCCTGCCCGGAACCGCCGGCTACCCGGGCCGGTTCCGGTTCCCCCTTTCCCAAAAAAAAAAAGCCCAGCCGGGCCCAGGCCGGAACTGGCCCGGCCCGGGTCCACCCCTAGTTGGTGCTAGGCCAGAAATCGAAACACATTGGTTCCGCTTGGTCCCGTCTCCTCCAATCTCAGGAATAATTGAGGAGATTTGTCCTTTTTTGAGGAGATTAGTCACTAATATTGGCATTAAAAGTGTGTGAATGGATAAATTACACATAAATCCAGTTATCCGACCATATCGAAACATTCTGTTGTCGATGGGCAAAGCTGCAATGTCAACATATACATTAATACATAATTACATACTCTACATTAAACTATCAAAACCGGATTGATTTTTTTGTGTCAATAGAACTTTTGTTTAAATAACGTGTCAATAGAACTTTTTGTGTAAATTTTAATAGTTGAGTTTATTAAACTTTATTAAATAACGTGTCATATTAAACTAATGTACTTTTGTTATAGAAGAGTTGACTTTAATATGAGTCCAAAATTATAAAGTGAAACCAAAACTTTCCATGAAATGTAAGTAAATAAACATGGTGACATGGCTATTTGATTTTGATTTTTTAAAAGCATGTTGGAACAATTTATAGTCTATATGACTGAGCTTTTTAAAAATAAGTGGTTGCAGGGCGTAAAATGTACCTTTTCAAAAGTTGTGAGGGGCTATGATGAGATTGAAAATTCTCCATACAACAGCTTTGATTTCTTTATAGAAAATAAGTGGCTTCAAATACACAACTTTTGACTCCTCAAGTTAAATGTGAACAGGGACCAATGCAGATCCTAGATTGGAAGAACCTCAACTACAACCGAGTTAATTGGTTCTAGTTGACCCATGACTTCAAGGAACAATTCATGGGCTGATTTTAGGCAGTCTGAAACTCGAAAATTTGAGCTTTAACTAAAAAAAAGCAACATGAATCAACCGATTCTGACTTAATATCATACTACGTATTAAACTAAACCAAACATATCCTACGCCGGTTCCGGGGCCAAAATTCCAATTCAATTTTGGGCAAAAAACACGAAAGGTCTCAATTTGAAACTTAGTCCTTGTCCACGCGTACTCAAGGATCATCCCATGTTCAATGAGGGAACACATTTGCTTACGTTTACTAACCAAGGTAGATCAATTTTTCTCATAAACGGGGCCATAATAAGCAAACTTGATCATTGGAGTAAGATGTGGTAAGCCGCCTCCGTTTTTGTCAATTACATTTCCACTCTCTCCTGACTTGCGGTACTCAGCTTCCTCTTATCCACTTTCCCTTCTTCACCTTTCCATTGTACTAAAAAAAACTATATCTTCTGCTTCTTGTTCCACATAAATAGCACCATCATCATCATCATTATCATCATCTATTTCTAACTCAGCGCCAAACTCATCATCAATCTCATCTCCATCACAGTCATCGATTTCTTCATCGTCATCCTCATCCTCATCCTCATCCTCATCCTCATCCTCATCCTCATCCTCATCCTCATCCTCATCCTCATCCTCATCCTCATCCTCATCCTCATCCTCATCCTCATCACCACACATAGATTGGTAGTCTGGAGGAGGGGGGCAATCCTCAGTCTCTGCATTGTCCTTCTTCATGACAAGATGTCTAATAACTCTCTCGTCCTTGTCAAGCAATTCCTTGAAATCATTAATCCATTTGGCGTCCATTTCAAAGTTCATCAAAATGTAGTGTGCCTGCGTCGCTTTACGTATCTTGTATGATAGTCTTCTCATACCCCAGTCATTGAATCTCCATACCCTCCCTTTCTTCTCCTTCACAAATTCTGCACCCCCCCCCCAAAAAAAAATCTTGAGATTCTGAACAGAAAAGAAAGAAGGGGAGACAACTAGTACCCTATAAAACATAAGAACATTTCAAAGGACCAAGAGAGTGTTTTTCAATTGCTTTTGGAAAGTACTTTTATGATTTTTTCTTTATTAAAAACTGAAAACAGTGTTTTAAGTTAGTGCCTCTAGTTAACTTTAAGCACTTCGAAGCTAAAAGCAAGGGAAAGGCTCTTAAAACTACTTTTCAGAATTCTTCTAGTATTGCACGGTTGCACCTAAATAGTAATACTACACCAATTTTTTTTTTTGCTAAGCACTCGAACTTCCTCTTCTTAAGATCACTTTTACTTCAAACAATACCAACTTTATTATTAGATACTTTCCCTATAATCACTAAAATATACTTCATATCTCTTTAAAGCAAAAGCAGACTTGGCCTAAGTACCAAGATGTAAGGAGTAGTAATAAGAGCATTAAGGAAGCAGGTAGGACAGACCTTGAACCATCATATTCACACTCTCCACATCATCCTTGTGATCTTCATGAATCAAGTACACTACTTCATAATGCCGCACTGCATACCAGCAAACTCATTCACTTTCACTGAACACTATAGAACCAAATCCATACTAATTTCACATTACTACATTCAGTGCAAACACTAGCTACTTATTGCAGTAAAAAATCCCTCTATAGGACCAAAACGCAACACACATCTTCAAGCAATATATCATTTTTCTTTTAATAGACCATCAGAAAAAGGATACTCCTATTTGTGCACATGACTCGGGTTTTACTCCTATTTGTAGTAATTTTTTCTACTTCCGTTCTTTCTTTCTTTATGGTTGAATAAATCCTATTTTTAATAAAAAAAAATGACAGACCTATGAATCCATATAATCCATGTTTAGTTTCTGTTTGCAGTAATTTCTTTATATATCAAAATGCCCAAATGGGGTTTTAAAACATAATCTCATAAATGAACTAGGACCAAGTCCTGAAAAGGATTACGTGCTCACTGCTCAAGGTGAACTTGTGAATGTGATCACAGTTTAAAGAGCAACACTTACTTTTTTCGACATTTAATTCACTCTCCAGCTGAAGATTTAAAGACTCATACAGTGCTTCTGCAAATGAAAGAAGCCCCATCATCAGTAAAATGAGTAGTGAAATCTTACGCCAATATCCACACCCACCCCCCAACAAAAAGGAAGGCAAAAAAGGCTGTCTTACGCTCTTCAGCATCTGCAAACTCAAGCCTACCATCTTCTCCGACCTTCACCAGTCAAAAGTGACAATCATTTCGCATATGATATGAAATGGGATTAATACTATGTGCAACTGAACCAATTGAGTTATACAGTAATACAAGCATTGAGTTATATATCCTTCAACAAATCTGTATCTGCACTCTTCTACGACTACCCTTTAAACCAAATAATCCAAATGATAATGAATAACAGAGAAAAATTAAATAAATTTACCTCTTTGAGAAGGACGGCTTCGGGGAAAGGACCGGTGGCTTCATCTGGTCTGGGGAAGAAGCTATGGTTGTCGGCCTTCTTGTTCTTTGCTGCCGCAATGAGGGAGGAAAATCTCAACTTCCCGGAGGAAAATGGAAGAGAGAAAGAAGAAGAGGAAGAGGAGGGAAGATGGAATTTTGCTGATGATTTGGCAGGAAAGATTTGGGTTCCAGAGTACCCATCAAAACCGACTATGCACCTTCCAACTTCCGAAGCAACTGTGAGTAGAAAGGTATCCATTTTGCAAACACAAGATTCTTTCTCAGCCGAGCAGATATATTATAGTTAGTAGCCGATAAGGCTGCTGTCTTGCAGTTTCAACAAAATGTAGGACTTATAATTAATTATCCATAACTTTTCTTGACAGCCAATGTTTTTTTACATCCCCGCAATTTTTTCGTTCTAGAAATAGTCATGGACTCTGGTCCGGGCCTAGGCCCGGCCGGGCTTTTGATTTTTGGTAGAAGGTCCGGGACCGGCCCGGGTTACTACCGGGTCCGGGTCGGGTCCATATTTTTTTTCTTTTCTTATTAACCCCCGACCCCCCTACCCCCACCCCCCAAAACACCCAGTCCAACTCAGGAAAAGGCCCAAAACAATGACAAAACAAAAAAATGCCCGAACCGGGCCCGGACCTGCCCAGGCTGATTCCAAAGAATGTGGTAAACTGGGACCGTCCCACCCTAACCCCCGGGACCGGGCCTAGGACGGGAACCAAAACCGGTAGGCCAGGCCGGGCAGGGGCGGATCTAGAAAAAGAAGTTATTGGGGGCACCGTATATAAAGAGAGATTTTCAATTTCAGCCGCGTAACTTTCGGCTATTATCGTTATTGGTCCCTGTAATTTTAATTACTTGCAAATTTGATTCTGTAACTAATAGTTTTTTGTGGTTTAAGAACTTTTCCACCGAATAGTACACTTCCCGTGAGAAAAATCTGATACCGGTGACATCAATTGTGGTATACTACCGCTGGAAAGTGTACTTTTCAGGGGAGAACAATAAATCACAAATATTAATTAGTTACCGGTCCAAATTTGCATGTAACTAAAGTTACAGGACTAATAATGAAAACAACAGAAAGCTACGGGATGAAAATTGCAAATTTTCCCCTGTATATAATAATGATGTTTTTAATTGAATTCGTTTTAATTCCATACTAGACCTATCAGACTTCGATAGTTGTAATATGCACATAGAATAATTATCCACCAAGTTAAACCAGTTGGGCTAGATCAAACCAGAAAATTATAGTTCGGTTAAAAACATCTTAAGTAAATTAAATGTCATACTACCTCCGTCCAAAAAAACCTTGTCATTTCATAAAAATTTGAACCATGATTTTGTTTACTATAATACTCCCTCCGTCCCAAAATTAACTTCCCGTTCGGTTTACGATGCTTGACTGACGATAAAGCAACTCGATCTCTGCTCACACTCGGATTATTTTTAGTAAATAAAATTTACATATTCAGAAACTACATTAAAACCGCTACAAAGCCTGATCAATAAAATTTAAATTTGATAAAAATTTGATATAAAAAGTAAAAGATTACGAGTGATTCAAGTTGACCAATGAATAGTGAGTGAGAAGTTGTTTTTGGGACGGAGGGAGTACTATGGAACTTATAAATTTTATACGTTTATGAAAATATTTTTAACAAACAACATTTTCACATAATTTTTATATTATAAATAATTTCCAATAAAAATATATAATTGATCATAGTTTTGAAAATGACAAAGTTTTTTGGGAAGGAGGTAGTATAAGAGATTGAAACATCAACATATACATTTATTTTAGAAGAAATGATTTAGAACATTTTTCAAATAAATAGTGCATCTTATCACGAATGCTCTCTAGGAGATTTCATTTTGACAAAATTATCTATCACAATTTAGTTTGTAACTACATCAAGTGAATCGTTTTCATATTACAAATAAAACAATCATTCAAAAATAAATCACCAATACGATTGCACAAACTTGAATGGACAATAATATTCATTGCAAAAACACAACCAATGTGATTGAAAAAACTATAAATTGAAAACATTACATATAAGCTATTGTGAAAATATGAAAATTAATTATTGACTGGAAAAGGTAGTACATATACAAACTAAATACTTGACTAGACTATTTTATTGGAAATCTAACCTAACAACTTTTGTAAAAATAATTTTGCTAACAAAGTCCCAAAAGTCATGAGCTTGCTCGTTTGCCGCTTTTACTTTTCCAAGTCATCGAAGAAATGTAGAGTATTTAATGGGGGCATTAACATTTTTTGTTGGGGACACTAGTCATTAATTGATTAAAAATAACAAAAATCAAACTAAAATTACACATGTTATTGGGGGCATGTGCCCCCATCGGCAACTCTATGCATCCGCCCCTGAGGCCGGGCTCGCACAATAGCGGGCCGGTTCCCGGATCGAGTGGCCCGAACCAGGTCCAACAATATCTAGAAATTACATTATCCACGAGCAAGTTCTTTTAGGAATTTTCCCACAATAGATTAAAAGAGGATATTTTTTAATTTATGACTAACACATAATTATTATTGTTTTTCCTAAAATTACACTCATTTATTCCTAATTAGAAAATTTTAAACTTTAAATAGGATCAAAATTAGTTATATTTTGAGAATAAAACATAAATTATCTTTTGTGTACACTATTACATGTTTTAGTCCTATTTGAAGTAACTTCTTATTTAAAAAATATTTTTTAAAATAGTGTTGAAATATAAACTAGAATAATATTGAAGAGTGGAGGAAAGATTTTCTGTGTATTCATTGGAGGGTTAAGACCCTATATATATTACAAAAATGATGGAATATTCCTATATAAGATGCTATACAATAATAATGTCTAGAGTATATTCCTAAAGCATATTCCTAGGTATAATAATTCTAGAGTATATTCCTAAAGCATATTCCTAGGTATAATAATACTTTCACACTCCCCCTCAAGTTGGAGCATAGATATTTATCATGCCCAACTTGTTACATAAGTAATCAACTCGAATCCCATTTAGAGCTTTAGTGAATAAATCTCCAAGTTGTTCTCCCGTCTTCACATATCCGGTAGAGATTAATCCTTTTTGTATTTTCTCTCGAATAAAATGGCAATCAACCTCAATATGCTTTGTTCTCTCATGAAATACGGGATTGTTTGCTATGTGTATAGCAGCTTGGTTATCGCACCACAACTGAGCAGGCATTGGTGTCTTCAATCCGATTTCATTCAATAAATGGTGTATCCATATTATCTCACATGCGGATTGTGCCATAGCTCGATATTCTGATTCAGCACTAGAACGAGAAACCACATTCTGTTTCTTACTCTTCCAGGATACGAGATTACCACCAACAAAGACGCAATAGCCAGATGTAGATCTTCGATCATCTTTAGAACCGGCCCAATCAGCATCTGCAAAGCATTCTATTCTCATGTGATCATGGTTTTGATAAACAATACCTCGTCCTGGTGCTCCCTTTAAGTAACATAATATGTGTTCGACAGCAGCCCAATGATCAATGGTCGGAGACGACATGTATTGACTCACTACACTCACAGAGTAAGCAATATCTGGACGAGTGACTGCGAGATAATTAAGCTTTCCAACCAAGCGTCTATATCTTTCTGGGTCTTCAAACGGCATGCCTTCTCGAGTGAGTTGCACATTGGGAACCATGGGAGTATTGCTCGGCTTTGATCCCAATTTCCCTGTTTCAGCTAGCAAATCAAGTACATATTTTCGTTGAGATAGAAATATGCCTTTCTTACTCCGTGTTACCTCAATACCCAAGAAATATTTCAATGAGCCTAAATCTTTTGTTTGGAACTGGCTATGAAGATAATTCTTAAGGGCCAAAATACCTGCATTATCACTGCCTGTAATCACAATATCATCGCCATACACCACAAGCAATGTGATACCTGCTTTCGTTTGTCTATAAAAGAGAGAGTGATCTGATTTGCCTTTTATCATTCCAAACTGTTCAATTGATCGACTGAACTTCCCAAACCATGCACGAGGACTTTGTTTCAAACCATAAAGAGATTTGCGAAGTCGACAAACTTTACCATACTCCCCCTGAGCAACAAACCCCGGAGGTTGCTCGATGTAAACTTCTTCCTGAAGGTCACCATGCAAGAATGCATTTTTAATGTCCAGCTGATGTAAGTGCCAATCGTGAGTTGCTGCGAGTGAAATAAGTAACCTGACAGATGTTAATTTAGCAACAGGAGAAAAAGTGTCAGAATAATCAACACCATAGGTTTGAGCATAACCCTTCGCAACTAATCGGGCTTTCAACCGAGCAACAGAACCGTCTGGATTAACCTTAACAGCAAAGACCCACTTACATCCAATAGAATTCTTCCCTATAGGCAAGTCTACCAAATCCCAAGTACCATTAAGATCCAAAGCATTCATTTCCTCTACCATTGCATGCCGCCATTCAGGATGAGACAAAGCTTCTTTAACAGATTTGGGAACAGAAATAGAATCGATGGAAGCAATAAACGAACATGAGGCTGGGGATAACTGACCATACGACACAAATGAAGAAATAGGATGAGTACAAGATCGTGTACCTTTACGTAGTGCTATTGGGAGGTCAAGATCTGATGTAGAGACAAGATCTGAAGATGCAGGTACTGGTTCAGGACATGAGATCGAAGTCGAACTAGTATCAGGATAAGTAATCACAGGTATCGCTGGTGGAGGGTGATCGGGTGTTTTGTGTCGACGGGTGTATACCAAATGTACGGGAAGCTTAGGGTCGGGAACAGTAACTTGTGGAATACTTGTCGAAAGTGTGTACTCGGGAATAGTCATCGTGTAAATGAGTATATCATCATTACTCTCATGAATATCTGCCTTAGATGATGAAAAAGGTGTATTTTCATGAAATGATGCATCAATAGAAACAAGATACCGACCTGTACTCGGACAAAAACATCTATACCCCTTTTGGACTCGAGAATAACCCAAGAAAATACATTTTAATGATTTAGAATCTAACTTGGTAAGATGAGGATTAACATCTCTAACAAAACAAGTGCAACCAAATATTTTCGGTGGGATAGGAAAAAGCTCTTTGTTTGGAAATAGACAATGATAAGGAGCTTTACCATTCAAAACAGAAGATGGCATACGATTTATCAAAAAACATGCAGTAGACACGGCATCGGCCCAAAACTGTTTAGGCACATTCATGTGGAATAGAAGAGCCCTTGCAGTTTCTAACAGATGTCGGTTCTTTCGTTCTGCAACCCCATTTTGAGGAGGTGTGTCAACACATGAAGTTTGATGAATAATGCCATGCTGAAGCATAAATGACTTAAAAGTAGCAGATAGATATTCTTGGGCATTGTCCCCTCTTAATACCCGAACAGGAACGTTAAACTGAGTTTTAATTTCAGCACAAAAAGAAGAAAAATGAGTGAACAACTCAGATCGACGTTTCATGAAATACAACCATGTCATACGAGAATAGTCATCAACAAA